TGCGAAGGCCAACAACTGTGCCAAGTTTGGAAGAAATTGGTGCAGCGGTTACCAAGATATACACATGTAACCATAAGTGGGCGTGGCTACGCCCATTTTCCAAAAATTTGTAATGTTCTTATTTTTCGTCTGAAAATTATTGTATATATCAATTTTGAGTGAATTATCTTCAGTAGTTACTAAAATATCGCAGTTTTCGTATTTCTGGAAATTACCGTTATATGGGAAGTGGGCGTGGTTAAAGTCCGATTTCGCCCATTTTCAATACCAACCTACCTTGGATAAATGGAAACTTACATACCAAATTTCGTTGAGATATCTCAATTTTTGCTCGAGTTATCGTGTACACGGACGGACGGACAGGCGGACAGGCGGACAGACGGACAGACAGACATGGCTTAATCGACTTCTCTATTCATTCTGAGCATTTATGTATATATTTGTCTATCAGCCCAATTCTTAATATTCCCGGGGAGTTTGTTCTCCGGGAATTTGTTTCTCCCGAGAAAGAAATCCTTCAATAATTACCTCTCATGGAATAGCATTTTCCCTGAACATTTGGGAGGAGGAAATTCGAACTTCAAAAAAGCTGTATTACACTTTTTTGACAGCTCAACTCCGCCATTTCATATAAAAAATCCTCTGGGAATTTTTATTCATGATAGGGGGAAAGGTAAAAGAGAGAAAACTCCCGGGGAGTTTCTGTTTAGAATCGGCCTGTATATCTATCTCGATTCGTTTTCGCTGTTACAAACAACCGTTATGTGAACAAAATTAATATACCCTTGTGCACAAGTGCGCTCGGGTATAAAAATAACCATCATTGAGACAAATTATAGATAAGTTTTCGTTGCGAAAATTTTGGAGCATCGAACAGCCCGTACAAAAATCTATAGAAATCATAGTTTTCGAATTATTTGTCCCATTTTCTGTCTTCTTTCTAGCTAGTCGTTTGTTGTTGTTGTTTGTTTGTTTTGCATATAAATGACCATGATTCAATAATACAAGGTTCGATAAACTGACAGTTGTCTCTCTCGCACCGCTCCCTTAGCAGTGGTACCGTGTTGCTTCTTTGCAAATTCACTTGGAAAAAGTGTAGCTTTTGTGTGAAATAGAAGTATAAGCTTTTGTGCAATATGTTTATTTGTATATGCATATGAAGCATATTTAACTGATGAAAAAATAAATTGTTTTTAAATTGGATGTTTACATCAATCTCATAGGGGTTTTATTTTAATTTTTAGTTTTTGCAGTTTTTATACAGCTAAATTGCGCATAAATTACGTAATTCACGTAGATATATCAATATTACGTTCAATATTTCGTTTAAAATGCCAGATTTCCTGTAAATACATAAGAATTTACAAAAGGAATTTCACTACTAATTGCCTACTTTGCGTACTTTTCTACTACCATTTTCGCACCAAGAGATTTCATTCTTCCCCTTTTTCCGACCTTCGTAAATGCAACCTTTTGTAAGGTCAAACCGCGGCTGTCAATAATTATCTAACCTTGTATTATTGAATCATGATAGATGACCATGATTCAATTATTAAAGGTTGGATATGTATTGACATTTGCGTAATAGTTTGATCCTTTTTTGGGAAAAGGTAGTAGAAATGTATTTTGTGGCGGTTAAATATTTAAAGATGCTTTCTCTGTTCTACTTAATGGAAATAGAATTCAAATTATATGGTCTACTAGAGATGCTATAATAGAAATTAAAAATCAACTAGATAAAGAATGGCAGTAACTTTATTCACATAAAATTCTAACTAAAGGAGAAATATTTTGGACAAATATTCCCGAGCATATCTAATTAACGCT